GTTCCGGCACGGCCCGTTTCGGCACGGCCCGTTAGGCACGGCTGATGAAACGGGCCGTGCCGTGCCGGCCCACGTGCCGAGCCGCCGGCCCAAGCACGGCCCGTGGATGGCCGGGCCGTGCCCGTGCCGGCACGGCACGCCCGCGGCCCACGGGCCGTTCGGGGCACGGCGGCCCGTGAAGGCAGGCCGCCAGCCCGCCAGCCTGCAGTGCACAGTGTTTTTTTTTAAAAAAAAAGCAAAGGAAATGTATAAGGAAAAAAAAATTAAAAATGGAAATAAAATGTTTAAAAAAAGTAATGATTTACTAATGTTAAAAAATGAAAAAATGGTATTTAAAAAATGGAAATAAAAGTTTTTTAAAAAAGTAATGATTTGCTAATGTTAAAAAAAAGAAAAAATGGTATTTTTTTGTTGTGTTGAAAAATTTAAAAATATAGATTGTGATTCATTATTTTGAAATAATTTAAAGATAAATCCACACTTGCGAAAATATTGCAAAAGAATTTGTTAAAAATAGTAATGACCTTTATTGATGTTTATATCATTACAGGATACAATGATACATGCTGTCTCGTTAAAAACTTTGTCATGTAAAAACTCATAGGGGAAAATGAGAAAACCATGACAAAGAAAAGAGTACAGCTCAAAGGTCAGAACTACTTCTAACAAAATTCTACTGGGGTTGGTCTGGATCCAGGTAGAGTTGCTCGAACTGGGCGGCCAATTCTTGGTTGTCCGCAGTGTATTGGGCATGTTGTCGAGCAAGCTCCCAGTCTTTAACGCTTAGTAGCATTTCGACGTGATCGCTGCGCAGAGTCGTCCTCCGGTCTTCGATGATTCGGCCGCATAGACTGAAGGCCGATTCGGAGGACACCGTCGACACGGGCACCGTCAACACATCCCGTGCTAGTTTTGAAAGCACAGGATATGTTATCTTGTGGTCATTCCACCACCCGAGGACGTTGAAATCTTGTGCTTCGTGGTGGATGGCGTCGCTGTCCAAATAACCGGACAACTCTTCGGCCACAACATGCGAAGAGGCGTCTCCACTTGTAGCCGACGAACTGCCACCACCTTGGATTGAACTTGAAGACGATCCACCCCAAATCCTACCCCACTGTATCTTCTTCTTACCTGTAGTGGGGATAGGAGGGGGTCTCTGCTGGCGAACTTCCTGAAACTTTACTTCATATCTTCCAAAAACCTCATATAATTTACGTCTAACCTCAGTATAAAAAGAACTATAATCTACACCTATAGTATCTCCAACAAGTGATAAAATAGCAGACAATCCCCTTAATTTACACCTAGGATCTAAAACAAAAGCAAGAGCATACAACATAGGTATATTTTTCCAATATTTCAAATATTTTTGTTTCATGTGAAAGACAGGTTCAGTTAGAACGTCATCATTTTCGTATTCTTTAAATAAAGTAGCAATTTCAAGAAGGTTGTGCAAAATTATATTAGCAGTTGGATAATAAACTTGTGACAAAGTTAGAGTACAATCATAAAAAGTTTCTAGAAATTGGTAAAATTTTTGGACAATTGCCCAAACATGCTCGTTCAGTACTGAAGACCCGTCACTGTTTCTTGGGCCACCACGTGACTGAACAAAATCAGAAAGTAAACTACTATAAGGTAAAACAACTTTTAACATTAAATACGTTGCATTCCACCGATGCTCTGCATCGGTGGCAAACTTACGAGCTTTCACACCGGCCGCATTGCAAAACCTCTTCCATGCAGCAATCCGCGGGTTAGAAGCAGTTAACCACGCGATTGCTTGACGAACAGCATCGATGTGGTCACCTACCCTCTTCATGCCAGTCTTAACAATCAAATTAATTATATGACATGCACAACGCTGATGGAGTAGAAAAGATTGAGCATACACACAAAATAAAGGTTGCAATATTTCAATAGCCCTAGAATTAGCAGATGCATTATCTAGGGTGACAGCAAATATTTTATCAGCAAGATTAAATTCATTAATTACTTCCCTAATTCTTTCAGCTATGTTTTCTCCTGTATGTGAGACATCTATTAACCTAAGCCCTAAAACTCTCTTTTGTAATTGCCAATCATCATCAACAAAATGAACAACTACGCTAAGATAATCCTCTCTAGCTCTACTACTCCATATATCTGAAGTAACACTAACAGAGAAAGTACATGTACTAAACAGTTCCTTAAGTGCAGTTGCTTCCTTGTGATAAACATTCTCTAAATCTCTAGTTGATGTTTGCCTACTCACAGCTTTAAACCTAGGGTTATGAGATTGCTGAATGTAATGTTCAAAAGCAGGGGACTCCCCAAAGTTCAGGGGTAAATCTTGCCTGGCGATTAACCGGACAAGAGATTCCCGAGCAACCATGGGATCGTACTCCCAACTGCGTACCGTACCGTCTGGGTTTACCATAAGTTGCTGCTGCCGGAGTTGTATTCCTTGCTTCTTGGCACACGACTCCGCATGGCGCTTGAGGTGACCTGTACCACCAGAAGAACGAGCAGATAAAATTTGCCTACATATTCTACAACGGGCTTTCGATACCTCCCTTCCGTCGGGGCAGGTTTCCTTTATCTCGTCGAAGCTTTGCCACACACCAGAGGTTCTCGATCTCTTCGAGCCGGTGTGTGTCGAAACACTTCCGCTCGCGGTTCCGGAAAATCCTTCCGAAGCTGTCTCCGCCTGAACCGGTACCTCCTCAACGACAGCCGTATGAACCGGTACCTCCTCCACAGATGGTGGAGTTGGAGCCGATCCGGAGGTACCGTCAAACCCCGACATGTAGTTGGGGTCGAAATCACCCAAGGTGAACGACGGCGACTGGTATGGAAAGTTCGGATCCATTCTGAAAATTTAAACCGACATAAACAAATTTTCGAATATTTATTGAATTCACAAACACAATACAAATAATACACAAATTTGAATATTACTTACATCTTTCCAACCGCGAGCTCTTCAAACCTCTGCGATCAAACTGTTGAACTACGAAACTAATTTTGATTTTTGACAAAATTTGAGCAAATTTTGTCAAAATAAAAAAAAATGCACACTTGAGAACAAAGAGAGCACTTAAAACACTTGAGAGCACAAGATGAGGAGTGTGGGATGAGGAGAAATGGCTGGGGTTCATGCCCTATTTATAGGGCGAAATTTGAGATTTTTTGGAATTTTTTCGAAATTTTTATGAATTTTTTAGCCTCCCAACGGTTATTTTCAAATTTGAACGGTCAAATAGCCGTTAGTGCCACGTGGCGCCTTCCCATTCGACCGCCGCCCGCCCTGTCCGCGCCTGACGGGCCGCCGGCGTGCCGTGCCGTGCCGTGCCGCGGGCCGTGCCGTGCCGGCCCGCTACAGTAGCCGTGCCGTGCCGTGCCGGCCCGCGGGCTCGGCCAGCGGCCCAAGCACGGCACGGCTACTCGTGCCGTGCCGGCACGGCCCGTTACTGTAGCAGGCCGTGCCGGGCCGTGCCTGCTACAGGTTCGGCCGTGCTCCGGGCCGCCCGTTTGGCCCGGCCCATTTGGCCACCTCTATGCATGGGTCACTATCGCTGAACCATTGCATGCGCTGGTCGCTATCACCGTCACCACCTTCTTCTGCTTCTAATCCCGCCATCGTAGCGGCCGCTGCTTTGTGTTGCTCCTGCCGCCTCCACCACCACTGCTTTTTGATTCTTCTTCTGCTGCTACTACCACAGCCTTCTACTTCTGCTGCAGCTGTTGCCTCCGCTGTCCTACTCCTCTTTGGCCAGATCTGGGAAAGGGAAGGGCCGTCGATGCCCCCTCTACCGCTTTCACTACTGGCTTCCACCCCTGAGGTAGATCAGGGGGAGGGTAGGCGAGGGGAGTGGAGGGTGAGGGAGGGAGTGAGCAGACTAAGGCTGCGTTCTTTCCACAAGTTTCCCAACCCCTTTCCCTCGTTTTCCGCGTGCACGCTTTTCAAACTGCTAAATGGTGTGTTTTTTTGCAAAAAGTTTCTATACGAAAGTTGCTTTAAAAAAACAAATTAATCCATTTTTGAAAAAAAATTAACTAATACTTAATTAATCACACGCTAATGGACCGCTCCGTTTTCCGTGCGGTGGAGTTGGGTTCCCAACCCCAAGTATCAAACACAGCCTAAGGGATGAAGATAAAATAATAGATGGAGACTTAGCTGCGTGGATTTTTTGAGCGCTCGTACCTTTTCGCATGCTAACATCTTTACATCTCACCTATGATAATTCGTTCATCTTTTTTCGTAAGCGAACCTCTTATGGCTCCGACTGTAAAATTCGACCAAGCGGGACTAAATCATGGGGGCCTTTGGCTATTTTTGTAAGCAGTAACCAGAGGGTATTTTTTTACTCCATATAGAAATAAAAGCCTGGTATTGGTAATAACCATTTTTCTAGTAGTGGAAGCTGTTGCTCACTGTTGCTGTCTAGGCCCGCCGATGCTGCTGAATCAGTGTGGCACTCTGGCTGGGTAGTGGAGGGAAAGTATGCAGCTTTCTAGCTGTGGTTGACAATGATGGTGCCATGACGCCTGGGAGTGGGAGGGAGCGGACGAGGAGAGTCCAAGGGACTGGATTTAACCATAGCTGGTTGGGCTGGCCGTTTTTTTAGTGTCTCCTGAATTGTATAGCCGTCTTTGGTAAAAGAACTGCGTGTGAAAATACGGTTATTTTCTTTGGTAAAAATATGGCTATTTCCTTTGGTGATCTCTTATGGTCTGCACAACAAATTTAGACGATAAGACCTCTCGATGCTTTTTCAAGCGCATAAACAAAAAACACGGTGCTCTTATAAACAAAAAACACGGTGTTTGAAAAAAAATCTTGAGATGAAAAAACCCCTCTTGTTCCATACCAATTTCCTGAGATTTTTCCGCCCTGTACACCAGTGGGTATTGTCTTGGTTTGCTTCAAAATGAAGACGAGATTTGGCTATTTTGATTCTTCCGTTCGATCACTTGTGTGTAACGTCATTTTTCTTTTCTGTGTGTATTAGGTTTCCTAAGCATCGACTGTGGCCTGGATCAAGATTCCAGAACAGACAGCCTGGTTGGCGGAATCACCTACGTCTCCGACGGTGCGTACGTCGACGCCGGCGAAAATAGAAGGGTGACCACCGTGTACAAGGACGACTGGAAGGGCCCTCGCTACCAGACACTCTACACGCTCAGGAGCTTCCCAACATCCGTTACCGGTGAACGGAGCTGCTACTCGCTACCCACCAAAAAAGGGGACAAGTACAATGTTCGGCTGGAGTTTCTGTATGGCAACTACGATGGCCTGGACAGCGCATCCCTGACGTTCAACCTGACCCTTGGGGTGAACCACTGGGACACCGTGATCTTGGACACCACCATCCACTACGGTTATAAAGCATACGCCGCGGTGTTCGTCGCATGGGCTATGTCGGCGCCGGTGTGCCTGGTGAATACCGGCGGTGGTACACCATTCGTGTCCACGGTGGAGCTGAGGCCGTTTGAAAGCTTGGCCTACCCGACCGACAATCAGTCACTCTCCCTCTATGAACGGAAGAGCATGAGATCAGGTGCTGACGTCGATATAATAAGGTTGGAGCACTACTACTGTATTTCCTAATTTCCGGCCGTCGTAGTAATTAAGGAGCAGCTCATTTAATTTGCACCTTAATATAATGTACAAATGGATTGGAGAAGAACCTGTATATTCTCTGATTTTACTAACTCCTAATTTTCTATATCAACCTGTCCTTTTGTTCCTTGTGGTGAAAAATATTTACATTAAGGATAAAGTTTGATCAGACTTTAATTTTTATACCCTAACTATTAATTTTACAGTAATTAATGGAAGTGCTCTTGGATTCGTACGTACACTATTTTTTGGAAAGCATAGAACCCTTCTTATATAAGTATTATTTTTCAACATAACTCATTTCCTTTTTGATGGTTGATGGTCAAAGTTTTATATTGTCACAAACATCAAATTTTAGGACTAGTCAAATATTTACGACCAGAGGAAGTAAGTATTCATCGTCAATTTGTTTTTCAATTGCATGTTTCCTTTCATATTCAGGATTTCATAAATACAGGTTTCCTGATGATCAGTACGATCGTTATTGGTATGCGTGGGAATTAACTGGAAATGACCCTTATTCAAACATTTCTACCCAATCAGCCATCGAACTGAATACCACATTTATGGTGCCCTTGCGTGTTCTCCAAACAGCTTTTGTGCCGGTTGGTAACTCCAATGAACTAGTTTTACGTTCAAAGAGAAGAGACAGACTTCCCGGTGATCACTTGGTGATCCTGCACTTCGCCGACTTCCAGGATAACAAGACTAGGGAGTTCACCGTTTCAATTGACAGCGGCATGCAAAGTGGACCGATCAGTCCACCATACCTGAAAGGTTGGTCTATCATCAATTGGTCCAGTGATTCTGAAGATCTGTCCATCAAACTTGTTGCCACTGCCACATCTTCTCTTCCCCCGATCCTCAATGCTTATGAGGTCTACAGTCGCATCATCCATGAATATCCAATGACGTTCTCCCAAGACTGTAAGCTCTATCTGTCTCTAACAATGTACACTAATTAAATATATCAGTTGGGTTTCTTCCATGTATTTCTTTCCATATGCTAGTTGATGCGATCATGGCCATTAAACATGAGTACGGAATAAGGAAGAATTGGATGGGTGATCCTTGTTATCCATCTAATTCTGTTTGGGATGGTGTGGAATGTACTAATCCTGGTGATGATAAAACCATGAGGATAATATCTCTGTGAGTATTATTCGGAATATTTGCACGTGCTATCGTACTTGCTTTATTGTATATAGTTGGTACCTTTCATTTATGTTGTATTGCTTGAAATTATTATGCAGTGATCTCTCCAACAGCGAGTTGCAAGGGCAGATATCCTATAATTTCACATTGTTTAGTGCCCTCAAGTATTTGTAAGTATACATAAAATTTTCACTGCCTTTCATTAGCCACATCTGAAATTCCTGACTGACATTAATGGGGATAGTTTTATGCTATTTAAAATCACCGGAAAACACCAACTAAATGATGAGCAGTTGCATTCTGGTGCAATTAAAATTATATAAACCCATCCTAACTACTCCCTCCGTCCCATTTTAAGTGCAGCCATGGTTTCCGTGTCTAACTTCCATCGTCCGTTTTATTTGAAAAAATTAAAAGAACATAAGTCATGAGTAAAGTACTATTCATGTTTTATCATCTCATAACAACAAAAATACTAAATAAAAAATTTTAAATAAGACGAACGATCAAAGTTTAGCGTAGAAACTGATAGTTGCACTTAAAATGGGACGGAGGGAGTAGGAGTAAGAACTAGTGGAGGTTTATTGCATCGCATGTACTATCCATGTGGTGCCACATCTTCGAGAGAATGAGACTAGCAGTAATCGGTTTCATATGTAGTTGAGGGATGAAAACGGACCAAGGCTACAGTTGCATGACCAAAAGTAGGCTTTTCTCTTGTAGTTTTAAATTTGAAAGACACATATGGAGGAATCTTTCTTTATTACATATGGGGCAATCTGAATCTGAAAGTAGAGCAAGAATAATATATATTATATGGTCTATAATATATCAGAATTCCTTCAACACATGTGCTTAGCTTTCAAAATTCGTAGATATCACAATTGAAGGCATACATCAACACTGTATCCGTCCAACTGTAGGTAACTCTAGTGCTGATTATAAACTGTACGGCTTATTAACAAAATAAAAATATTAATTTGTGTGTAAAACTTTTATAATTAGCATTATTTTGGCAGCAGTTTAAAAGTTTTAAAAGTCAATGTAAAAAATAAACTTTGATGAAAAAACATGCAAAATCTACTTTCAAATCATGTTAGTTTTAAAATTTAAATTTTGACAGTGGCTTATAAGCTGTAGGGCAGAATATGGGAGCCAAACATGCATCCATATTTTCTTATTCCCATACTAATGTCTCCAAATGGCTCACGCATCTAGAGGAATTTGATATGACTTATCTTTAGATAGATATTTCCAGGATCATTGATTAGGCAATGAAATGTTGCAAAACATGGAGCATCATGATCCAAACAGATGCTTGCAAGACGAAGTATATCTGATTGCTGTGTAATTTTCATTTTTGCCTTAAACGAATTCTTTTATGTGAGATTGCCACTTGCATGATGGAGTATACCGGTTTACTTTAAAAAAAAAAATTCGAGTGAATTATTTCATGTCCGATTGGCACTAAGCCAACAATCTTCACGCTTTTGCCATTTACTAGTAATCATGCACGTGCAATGCACGTTTTTACATATAAAAACACTCAAAAATTATTGCATTTTCATGTTGTGTTACCCAAAACACACAAACATATTTTTAAGAACCGGTGATTAAAAAGGGTCACACTTGGTGCGGCGAGGGAATTTGAGACTGGGAACTCATGATCCCAACATATTCACCCTGATAAAATTTCACTAAATATTCTTTTGAGCTATTTTAGAGACAAAATTATTGTTTGTTCTTTGTATGCCTCTACCCTGCAACAATCAATCGTTAAGATCATCTGAAAATTGGATGAGTTGAACAATCTAGCTGTTTGAGCATACAACTCCAAGGTAGTATAACAGGGAATTGGACTAATCATATTGAAAAGCTATGTGCTCTTTAGAAATATGAAATCGAACAGAAAAAAATATAATATTGACCAATCAGAGATTTTTTTAATTTTTTTGAACCTTTTAGTTTTTAGCTATAAAAATAAACCTTCCCAAAACTTATTTTCAAATAAGTTCCTTTTTTGCCATGCGCAAATGCGGGTGGTGTGACTATTGTTTCGCCAAGCGAGGTGAGGCGCAGTGGGTATGAAGGTTCAGATTTAGAAATAAGTATCGAGATGGTTTATTTTTAAATTTAAAATTTTAAATGTTCAAAAAATAACAAAAATTCCCAATGAAAAGCGTGTGACTATACTTCCATTGTCTGTTGCATAATAACCTTTTACCTACCTAAGAGGGTGGCACTGGAGAGCACAATCATGTATAGTTCTCTTAACAATCATGTATATGTACTTTCAAAGTGCAAGTCACAAAGGCAATATGATACATCCACCGCTCTAGTGTATTTATAATCTTTGTCCTTCAACATACACCAGAAATTTATGGCACCTCACAAAAGGGAAAATATACCTTCTGCTGCAGCCTACTTATCGACACATCTCCTTTTACAATTGAATTGAAGTAAAATGAAGCACTGAAGTTTAAAAGAATTCTCCTTTTACACATCTCATTTTTGCCATAAAGGAATTTTTTTATGTGAGATTGCCACTTGGATGATGGAATATACCTGTTTACTTTTAAAAAAAAATTCAAGCGAATTATTTCATGTCCGATTGGCACTGCCGGCCCTTCATATAAAACTTTTTAGTGGATAAATTTGTTTGCAGATTGTTACCAAGTCAGGATGTCTATTGTTTAATGCCAGATTGTATCCCACTTTATACAGAAACTTGTCATGCAACCAACTAACCGGGACAATTCCAGACTACCTTCGCAAAAGCAATGGATCAATTGTTTTCAGGTGTGCCTACTTTCATTATTATTGATTTCCCTTTTAGCATTTTCCAGATTGTGGGGTTGTTCTTCCTGTAATCTTTGGGCACCCTAAAAGAAAATAGGGAAGGGAAGTGATACTATGCTTCTCAAATAAAAACCTGCACGGAAATTAAAGCACATCAATGGTGGATATTAAAAGTGGATTAACAGAGTAATCCCCCCATTAGCAAGGGGGCAGTTTTGTACTTAGAAAAAACTGAGCCCCTATCCATATCGATCGAGCGATCGACTCGCGGCGGCAGTCAATTTCCGACAATTCCACCTCTCCGCTGCCACCCATGCATCATGCTCCCTGCAGGCTGCCAAGCGGCTCCGCGTTCGGGGTGGCAGCAAACCTCTGGTGAGTAGGGATGCCAGCCGCCGTCATCGGCGCCGTGCGCCGGGACGGTCGCTCTGCTCGGCTGTTGGGAATAGTCCCATATTACTTATTTAGGGAAAGGCCAGTCAAGGCGGTCAGGAGTTCGATTGTCCTTGAGGGTTGATATTTGCTTGCAGAGATGCAGTTGATTAATGTTTAGAAGGAAGAATCGTTCGAAAAATGCTTAGAATGAAGATAGCCTCTTATGGTTGTGATCTTGTGGGATGTTCTGCTCAATGTGGTCGTCCAAGTGCTGGTTTAGTTGGGGGCAAAGCTGGATCCGAACGTGAAGCTCCTCCATAGCCAACTGGGAGCGTGAGGGGTAGCAGGCGCAGAGACGTGGAAGGGGCCGGGTAGAGGAAGAGGTGGCGGTGTTGGCTAACGGGCGATCGATCGTCCGTGGCGCCCCCACCCCCCCACCCCCCCCCCCCCTCCTTCCTCTCCTCTAAGTGGTTTCTTTTTTTTGGTACCGCATTACTTTCCATTTAGTAAATTTATGCACATAAAGTTTATACACCTCAAGTTTACACATATAAAGTTTAGAGACCCAAAGTTTATAAATCATAAGTTTATATATCCGATTCTAATTTGAATTTGAATTCAAATATTTTTTATATAAAGTATTTCTATACATCTAAAGTTTATACACCTAAAGTTTATAGACCCAAAGTTTATAAGTCAAAAGTTTATATACCCGATTCAAATTTGAATTTGAATTATATCTGATTCAAATTTGAATTTGAATTCAAATATTAGTTTATAGACCCAAAGTTTATAAGTCAAAATTTTACATACCCGTTTCAATTTTAAATTTGAATTCAAATTTTTTATATATAGTATTTCTATCCATAATTTTTTCTAACTTTTTTTTATTTTTTTAAATTTTATGGTGTGTTGTAGTAGGAAGAGAAGAAGGGAGAGGAAGGGGGAGAAGAAGAGTGTATAGGGGGGGAGGGACGGGTGTTCGCTAGAAGTAGGGGGAAGTGATCACCCGCCCACTAGCAGTACCTTGATGCTCGTTGCCTTGGTAGGTGATCGCTAGGAGTAGGGGGAAGCGATCACCCGCCTACTAGCAGTACCCTGATGTTCGTTGCCTTGGTGGATGAACTGCCGCCCGCGCTGTGAATCCATCGCTCGATCGATAGGATCAACAAGAATACGGGCTCAGATTTTTCTAAGGACAAAATTGCCCCTTTCTAATGGGAATTACTCTGCTAATATCACTTTTAATTCCCACCATTGATGTGCTTTAATTTTGGTGTAGATTTTTATTTGGCGAGCATACCAATTTAAAACCATGGACTTATTGTTTTATGTAATTTCAGCTACGAGTCTGACGGAGATATGTGCAAAAAACCAATAACTTCGTCCTCAAGAAACAGAGCAGCTACCTTAGCTGTTTATGTAGCGGCTCCAGTGCTTGTAGTCGCCATGCTTGTTGTAGCATATTTGATCTGGAGAGCCAAAAGAAAGCCCCATTGTGTGTAATACTATAATCTGCATTGAAAAACACATTGTTTAATATCTGCATTTAATACTGCTAAACATGTTCTTTCTCCACCAGTTTCTACAGATGATTCTCCCACGGTACCAGAACAGATAAGTCCTCCAGGACATTGGACAAATCATTGGGACCATCTACAAAAACCTGAGAATCGTCGATTCACATATGAGGAACTAGCGAAGTTCACTGATAGCTTCAAATGTTTAATTGGGCATGGAGGCTTTGGAAATGTCTATTACGGCTGTTTAGAAGACAATACCGAGGTTGCTGTTAAGATGCGATCTGAATCATCGTCCCACGGGCTCGATGAGTTCTTAGCTGAGGTGCCAAATATAGTTACTATTATGTTTAACCATAGATAAAATCAATCTGTTTTCAGTAAAAAAGATTCAATACTTAGAATGCCATATATGTGCATGTAAACTTAGTCGCATCCACTGTGAGGTTTCATACGCATCAAGATATTTGACCATTTGTTTTGTCCCATTACATAGGTTCAGAGCTTGACCAAGGTGAATCACAGGAATCTTGTTTCTTTGATTGGTTACTGCTGGGAGAAGGATCATTTAGCACTTGTCTACGAGTACATGTCTAGTGGCAATCTTAGTGATTATCTGAGAGGTTTGTCCATTGCAATCTTTAAGTATTGAATATTTGGGAAATCTGAGGGAGGATACTGGGCATATACATTACGTAGACCAACTAGTCATTCCTTCCTTACAACTTAAATACTCTGCATGACCGAACCAGCTCACAGCGAAGCCAATTAACTCATGTTGCATAACAGTTTGCAGAACTATGACAAGTAGTACTGCTTACCTGGAGAGTGCATAGTTAGACATTTTGAGAAAAAAAAAAGACTGGAGAGAGCATAGTTAGTCTCTACCTAAGGGGCTTCATGGCCATCGCTTAAACTCACTAAAGATATCATAATATATTTAGAGCAATTTTTGGATACTAAAATGTGCCCCACCAGTCTATTGGTTTTTTGAATAGTAGATGTGAGTAGTTTGTATTAAAGCCAAACTATTAGCAAGGCCTATATTAATATGGTAACTCTATATGTACCAATCAAATTTGGCTCTAAATTGGTTCTAACCAAAGATGATCCATGCAACTCTACCCTACAAAAAATTTAGTAGTGCCCAAACTTGCCTTGGTTCTAATAGTGCCAGTTATTTAGTACGACAGAAAACAAAAAACTACCCTTAATTCTGCTGCCCTCAAGTATAGAATATGTTAATCTTGCATTACCAATTTTTTTTCATAATTGCTCATCATCTCATTATCTAGACATCTGATTAATACAACACAATAATAAATTGTGTGGATGTTTAAAATTGTATACAAAATAAATGTTTTTGCATTATTGAAGGTCTATCTCGACTGATTGTGCAGACATAGTAATATCAAGAGATGGTTGTATCTATCTAATAAATTATTACATTGATTCTATCCTTTTTTTAAAGGAATAATACTGTTTTGACTTGTCAATTAACACCGCTCCCCCCCCTCTCCCCCTCCCCCCCTCACCTTCTAATTGCGTATAAGTAATGTATGAAGGTAAAACTAGCATGGGTGGAACCATGAATTGGGCAACACGCGTAAGAGTTATGCTTGAAGCTGCACAAGGTATGCTACAGTAAGAAGACAATGGCAAATACGCAAAGAAAGAATCTATGCTATGCCACTGAATTTATCCTACTTTAACAATTTGTCATCAATTTTGTCTCCCTCTATAATATAAATGGCACTGACTTTACAGTAAGCTATTGTGGTGGATACTTTTCTGAAATGCCTAGAATGCCCTTCGAGTTATCCAAGAGTTGACAATTGTTTAACCCACTAGAAGTTTTGAAAAAATATGAAAGTTTTTGTGTACTTAGCCTTCTTACGAAATATAGAATGTGTGTATATTTTAAATTTTTCTTTCATGTTTTTTAAATAATAATTTTATATAGTGTTTGAAAGAGGAATCATATACACAAAAGATAGCCACATCACAATAAAAAAGGTACAACATGTGAATGATGATATACATAAAGGAATATTAACACGAGAGTATTTTGTTGCCATATAAAACATAAATTATATTTTTTAAAAGTTAATACGTGCAAAATGAAAAATCTTGAAATATACACACTGTTATATTATGCAAGGAGGCTACATAAAAATTTTCAAATTTATTCAAAACTTCTAGTAGGTGTAACCTCTTGTATGTCTTGAAGAGCATTTTAGGTATTTTCTAAAAGTATCCACCCCTAATGGTATATTGTAGAAAAAATTGACAAAGTCAGTGGCGTATTATAAGAAAGACAAAATCGATGACAAATCATCGAACTAAACTGATCTCAGTGATATAAATGGATTTCTATGTTTTATCGCTCATCTCTTGATCTAACTGTAGTTTTCTTGTATGTAGGGCTAGAATATCTACATAAGGGTTGTAACCTGCCAATAATTCATGGGGATGTAAAGACAAATAACATTCTCTTGGGTGGAAATTTAAAAGCAAAAATAGCAGATTTTGGGCTTTCAAAAACCTACCATAGTGACTCCCAGACTCACATATCAGCCATTGCAGCGGGATCTATGGGCTACATTGACCCTGAGTATGAGCTTCTTTCTACACAATTAATGCTAATTTTGTGCTGTGTATTCATATATTTTAATGATTCTATTCAATTTTATCCTTAATCACTTGGTGCAATCATTGTGTTTAACATAATGTGGGCCATTTTTAGGTACTACATCACCGGTAGACTCACTGAGAGCAGTGACGTTTACAGCTTTGGTGTTGTTTTACTAGAGGTAACTAGTGGTGAACCTACCATAATACCTGGAAATGGTCACATTGTTGAACGTGTGAAGCAGAAGATGGTCACTGGTAACATCAGCTCAGTTGCCGATGCACGTCTTGGAGGTTCTTATAACGTCAACTCCATGTGGAAGGTTCTAGATGCTGCCATGATGTGCACAGCAGATATTGCTGCTCAAAGGCCAATGATGTCCGCCGTGGTCATGCAATTGAAGGAAAGCCTGGAATTGGAGGAAGCTCATGGGGACATGGGCGACATGGAAAATATAGCAAGAGATAACAAGTTTTCGATGTCCATGTTGGGTCCATCGGCAAGATGAAGAATTAACCATTGCATAACTAGCTTTGGAACATACAGTTGGTTCTCTGCTTCAAGTCTAAAATAAAAGAACTTGTTTGCATAGATGATTTGTTATATATGTGTTAAGACACAATGATTTATACAGTTTGTATTCGTAACAGAGCTGACAGTAAGCAATTCGTGAGAGTAGGTCAGTCAAATGCTGAGAAGGTGGTTGTTTACAACCAAATATTATGTAATAGAATCCTCTGCTATTTTATAAGCTGTTTGTTTTCAATGTGCAACAGTAAGCTATTCGTGTGAGTAGGTCAGCCAAATGCTGAGAAGCTAGGTGGTTGTTTACAACCAAAGATTATGTACTAGAATCCTCTGCCATTTTATAATTTAACCGAAATGTTTCCACAGCCTCTTGGATAATTCAGCACAACTGCAAAGGGCAGCACCTCATGACAGAGCTGAGGAGCATGTGAGGACTCGACCATCAAGCAAGAACGAATGATCTCATTATTCCCGTTTGTTTTTTTTTTGTTGGGGGGGGCGGGGGGGGGGGGGGGGGGGCGTAGATGTCGTTATTCATACTGCTCCAACGATGCAGTCATGAAACCTACAAGTCTAAAAGACATGTTTTGTTGATTTTGGTTAGGCGTAGTTGCATAACACATTGCAAAGTCAAGGTAAGAAAAACTTTACTTACGTGGATTTCTTCCCAATTCTAATCATGTGAGATAGGATATCTCATACGGAGTACAGCCACCACTACAAAATTGATTTTTCTGGATGAGACCCTTTTTAGGTTGTACACGGACCATAACTGCTTCCGCCTACAAAAATCCCTCCCACGGGGTCAGTTCAAAGCGTTGCATGCAAAATAACATTTGCATGCGGCCTCTTAAGAGATCCACCTGTAAAAATGGACTAACCTTTTCAGGCGAGCCTCCTAAGTGGCCACATGCGAAAATCAGATTTTTACAGACGCCTCCTTAAGAGGTCCACTTGGAAAAATCACTGCAAACTAAATATAAAAACCAAATCCACTCCACTCCACCTTTCCTCTCTTATCCTCTCCTCCTCCTCCCCCCCCTCCCCCCTCTCTGTCTCCCTCTCCCTCTTGAGCACGTGGCTGGAGCAGCAAGCGGGTCGGCGTTTGGTCGCGGGTAGGAGCGACTAGCGTTGGACAGGAGTGGTAGTGAGCTCGGCGACATGGAATCCAGCGTGGAGGACGGTGTGAGAGGCGGTGGTGGCACACTCGTATTGGGTATCGGTGCCCTCGGCTACGGAATCTGATGCGGAGGACAGCGGACTCAGGCGGCCGTAGCAATGCCCTCGGCTAGGGATTCGGCGTGGATGACGACGGGAGCAGCGGAAGCACCCTCGAATTGCATGGTGGTGCCCTCGGTTGCGGGATGCAGAGCTCGGCCGCGGGATTTGATACAGAGGACGGCGGGAGCGGCGGTGATGGTATCGGGCGACAACGGCGGTGTCCTAGGCTATGGGATCTGGCCGGAGTGATGAGCTCGAGGCCGACGGATCTGGCCGTGCCATCCTCGGCAGGGGCGGATCTGCCACCCTTGGCCACATAAGAGGTGACCACGACATTGGGTGGCGACAGCGGATCCGACGGCGCCACCCTCGGGAGGGCGGATCAGCCACCCCTGGCCCCGAGAGGGTGACGACGGCATTGGGCGGAGTTCGAGGGCAGCAGATCCATCCCCCCTCCCCCCGCGGGTTGATGGGCCTTCTTTATGGATGGGCAATAAAATTTACTTTCACTTCTGACAAAGCTACGTAGCAAGGTTGTACATGGTCAGGGCTATACTAGGCTACTAGCAATTTTTTGCGTGAGCTGCTCAGTTTTGTGAACTTCTTCTCCTTCATACTTATTATTCTCATTGTAGTCGAGGAGTATCTAGACGGTACCTTGACGCTCTCTAGGCATTCAAACATACTTTCGTTCTCTTCCTTACTCAAGTAATGGCTTCCTTTCTTCTTTTGTTCCGGATGATGGCCACCGCGTTGTTCCATATGCTTGAGATCATTACGTGCTTCATGTGTATCTTTTGACTTCCTATATACACCTAGGAAGCCCAGCAAGTTGACGCAAAGGTTCTTAGTGAGGTGCATCACGTCAATTGCGTGGCGGACATCCAAGACTTCCCAATAGGGTAACTCTCAAAAAAAATAGACTTCTTCTTCCAGATCGCCGCGTGCGCATCTTAGCTCTCTATAGGTTGGTTGCTAGCTCCCTTTCCAAATACTACTTTCAGATCTTTCACCATAGCAAACATGACTTTTCCATTGCAATGTTTAGGCTTAGTACGGTGGCTTGCCTTCTGTTCGAAGTACTTTCCTTTCTTCCGTACAGGTGGCTTGCAAAAAGGAATCGACGATGGCCCATGTACACTACCTTCCTACAATGTTTTAGATACGTACTTTCAGTTTCATCCATGTAGTGGGTGTGTTAACAACAGAATTTTGTATCAGATCCGGAAAAGAAGGAACAAGATCGAAGCGGATTTGATGAATGATCAAGTTGTATTTGAAGTCGGACCGCGCATCGGCTGGGCATTGTATCGGCTGGAGACAGAATAGAAGTTTGGCTTAGCCAATATGGCAAGTGGCCGATACGATATGACTTGGGCTCGTTTCGGGTCTAGATTGGAATAACCGTCATTGTCAATTAGAGATAGAGCTCGATTAAGGCAATTGTATATATTAATTAGGATATTTAAGTCGATTGTTAGAGATTTGGCAACAGACCGCCATGTGGTCTTGTTTGTATCTTATCTTTAGGAAAGTTTGAGTCGTGTTCATAATGGACTATGTTTGTACTCGGGGTACAAATATGAACCCCAGAGCATTGTAATAAGGGAAATAATCCAATACAACTTCGGCGCATCGTCATCCGTTTTTGTTCTTCTTTTCGTCGAGTTCTCTCGACAAGAGGTAACTCGTCTCAATGGCTTGTGCTATCGGGGCTACTATGTCGTTTTGGATGTTATAGTTCTTTTATCATAACCATCTGTTGTCATATGTCTTAGTTAATTTAGTCTTAGTATCTCAATTTAGCTCTATCGGCTGGTACTCGTTTTGGTATTGGCTAAATCGTTTTACTAGATTAGATTAACTAAGGCATCTACTATCTTGAAAAGTAATTAATTCGTTGATTGTTTAGACTTTAGGTTTCTTTACCTACTTTGAGATGCCTCATCCCTAGTCTTGTCTAGAACCCTAAAAACTAATCTGAAATTAATTATAATTAGATATAGAATCAGAGTTTCAGCTGATCTTTTTTTAATATACATGCTACTTTACTTGTTTTATGTATATTTATCACTTATATAGATAGATCAACATATATAAATACATCAAGTCTAGATCAGTAATCAGCTAGGTCATCAAACCTGGTAATTGATCTCAATTTGATATACTAGTCACCAACCCGTGCGTTGCACGGGCTATTGTCATGATATTGTGTAATTTTAAAATATAGCCAGTTAGATTTAAAACTTTGTCCATATTACTTATAATTTACTTATTATTTATTTCAAATTTCGAAATATTATGTGTTTGATATGGGTACAACTTCAAGTTTATTAATTCCGACTTTCTATTTAAAATGTCATGCTTTATTATTTGGGTACAATGGAGAAAAAGTGAAAGTCAACGATATTTCCTATTGTATATTTATTTAATATTAATTCTCCGCACGATATATATGGTTACGATAATACTACCTCCGTCCCAAAATAAGTGCAGCCACGCGTGGATATCCGTGGCCAACGTTTGACCGTCCGTCTTATTTAAAAAATTTGTGAAAAAATTAAAAATATTTAGTCACACATAAAGTACTATTCATGTTTTATCATCTAATAGCAATAAAAATACTAATCATAAAAAAATTTCAAATAAGACGAACGGTCAAACGTTGAATGTGACTAGTGCAAAACTACATTTATTTTGGGACGGAGGGAGTACAATTTAGTGAATCAATAGCATGCACACAAAGCTGCAGATTTGTTAGATTTTCATTGTTTTGCATCACTACAAATAATTAATTAAGAGCTCGAGCATGGATGAAATGGCATAAGAATTAAAAGAAATAAAAAAAAGGATGAGATGGAAAAAAGCGTGCATATTTGTTTTGTACAAATTTCATGTGCGCTGCATGCATCAGGATGGCTTCAAGCTGTATGGGATGCGAGTGATGAGGAATATCATACGTGAGCAATAGCCCTGCCAATCTATGCATGCTTTCATCGATCCATGAAAGGCACTGTGATTTTGATGCAGTACACGTTGATTGCTGCTGGGGATGGAACGCTCAACGTGCCTGCTAGCGGCAGAATATGCCGTGCTATGCTGCATATATGCCGCACATCACGCTAATTATGGTAGTTAATTATCTGTTATTATCTCGGCGGTAACAATCAACTCCAAGCCGTAATAATTTTATCCAGCCTAGATCGATGGCCACGATAAAACTATCTACCTAATCAACAGTTAGATATTTCTGATTAACGTGAGAGCTCATAGAAAGTGCCCAATTAGTCTAAATATAGATTGCTATAGATTGATTTGTTTATATAAGTTTGCACTAGAGTATTAGCTAGTATATTATCTTTATTTACCTATCTTTCTCTAAAAATTGTTCCATCGGCTATTCTCATGATATCGTCTGAAATCTATTTTATCAAACTAAGCAGACGATATGTAGGGTTTTATATTCTTTGATCTACTCAGTCTATAGCCAATTTGGTCTAACCATATCGGCTGAGACCATCAACGATACGTCATCAGCCTATCGGCCGATCGGCTATCCGCTAACTCACCTTGTTTCTTTTTTCCTTGCTGGTTGCAGGATGAAACAAGCTGACACGCCCTTAGCACACTCGATACAAGTCTTAGACCTGCACTAAAGTTAGGCAGATCCCCTAGGCCACTGTGTTTTCCGTCAACAGGGTGCAAGCCTTATATCCCTTGTTTGACTGTCCAGATAGGTTGTTAATGGTAACGAACAGCAACGCTCGTAGGTTAAATTGCTTCTGTTTGAACTCATCCCGCACGAGGACACCTTATTTCTTTCACGCAGTTTCAGAACTTCAACCAATGGTCTTTAGTACTCATCAATGTCGTTACCAGGTTGCTTTGGGCCTTCAATAATATCGACACCCTGATGTACTTCGGCTTCATTCATAGGGGGGAAGTTGGAGATACACATGGTCACAGGCCAAGTGTTACGGCTGCTGCTCATCTCCAAATAGATTCATGCCATACATACTTAAACCGAACCTAATGTTTCGTGCATCCACTCCGAAGTCTTGAAATGTTCCATCGATGTTTCGCCAATGTGACTCATCGGTGGGGTGTCTCAGCATCCCGTCTTGTCG